AAAAACACAGAAAATTTTGCCACTTAGGACAAAGAACGCTTCATAATTTTCCATGTCTTTTTTATCGTTTAACATTTTTAACTTATTAATGTACAACACATAACATTCTATTTTTATTTAATAGTTGACATATGTACATTATACAACAAAAACTATCACGGATAAAATTTTGTATTCTATTTTTTAGAAATGATATAAAATCATTAACAACTACAAGTAACCTATTTTTAATTTTTAGTTAATAATATGTTTGATAATTGTTTATGAAATAATTAAAAAACCCAAAAAGCATGAATTTAGTTGGTACAGTACACAATTCTAACCTTTTACATAATTTGACATGTGATTTTAAAATTGAACATGAAAAGCAAAGAATAACCTTTTTTCCGTATTCTAGAACATGAAGAAATTAACATTTTGTTTGCACGAACTACTATAAATATGCGAACCAATAAGTTATGTTTCAATTTGTTAGAGAATAGCTACTATATATATCCGAACTAATACACTCTTATTGCGATCTACAGGACAAATAATATTTTTTGTGTGCTTACTAGATTATTAAGAGATAATAGCATGAAGTAAAAATGAACATTTGCTAAGTAAAAACACAATCATAATAACTTATTCACATGTTCTTACACTATAAGATTAATGAAATATAGAAACATAGTTAAGTTATATGCTACAATGATACACGGCAATTTCATGTATTTAAGAATATCACCAATGGTCACCAAATATTTTTGAATATTTTTCAAAACCGAATTATGGTTATACAGCTTTAATATGCCCGTGACCAATTGGTAAAAAAAGTTACAAGAAAAGTAATGTGCATATACATGTATGCATTTGTCATCTTTAGTGATTGAATTTTTCATTTCTCACATATTAAATGATTCATTATCTTTTCTTTTTTGCTATTCCAATTTCTTCTTATTTTCATTTTTTGTACGCCATTAAATTTTCTTCGATGCATAATTGTAAAAAAAATTGTCTTTATTTTTTACTAATGTAATTATAATTCTTTTTATTTTATTTTTATTGTTTGAAATAATTTCTTTTCTTTTACCTACATGAGTGTTGAAGTGCAAACATAACTGTATTAGAGTGTCACATTTAATCTTACGATATTGGATATATATAATGGTTGAGACGTAAATAAATATTTTAATCCTTACTTAAATCAAATGACACCCTAATACATGCATTGCTATTTTTAGTAACCAGTTATACTCGCTGGATAACCCAACTAATAAGTTAATGATATAATTCTTCGTTAAATCCGTTACCTTTAAGAGTATAGCTCGGAAGGATTTATTGTCCCTTCCAGTGACCATGGCAGAATGTGGAGTATTCACTTTTCCCTCATTCACCTCTCAACCCTTATTGGCTTAACTTAACTGTCAAGAACATTGCTGATTGCACAACTGGATCCCTTTACTTTTATATTAAGTTATCAGACAATTCCAGTTACAATCATTCACACATTTAATATTGGATGATAATGTGAAGCGACGACATAATTCCTCTAAAAGCATAGCAGAATATTGAAGGTAATATAGAAGCATAGCAGAATAGTTTGGTTATACTTTAATATAATGGTGGCAAAGGCTAGCATACATTCGAGGTGTAATATACACCTTTCACACCTATTAGTTGTACTTTAATATATTTTGACAAATAAGAATTGTTGGTTATTAGTTTTGTATGAAATAAATCGTTGGATTAGAGAATTAGAGACTGTGGTTCACCCATTAGAAACTATGGTATAGTATTATTTCCCAAACTCCTTTAATTTATGGTCTAAATAGCAAAACTCAATAGGAGTACGGTAAATTGACGCACGCTATGAAACCATGCACAACTTATGAAGTTAAAAATTGTTGATCAATCAAAGATCATATGACCATGAATACTATTTTCCATGTGGTGATGAAGTTACAGTATCGTTTAACATTATTGTGATCATGATTAAAACCTGGATTAAATGTAGCGCCTCAGATTAGATGAAACATTGATAATAGATAACAACAATAAATAAATGGGTTATAGCTATAATATGCCCCTCTAGTATGACGTTTTATCAAACATGCCCCTCTACTATTTTTTACATCAAACATGCCACTGTAATTTGGAAAAACTATCAAACATGCCCTTCAGTTGAAATTTCAATTGAAAAATCGTCAATCATGGTTGAACCGAGATTTAGACGACCTGACATCGATAAATGGGAGGGGAAAGGTCACTTTTGACCCTTACTTTATTTCTCTAGATCTCATCAAAGTGAAATTATTATAATTATTATACAAAAGAACAAAAAAAACTCAAAAGTGAAATTATTAGAGATATTTTAGATATTTGGGTCGCCCAAACCAAAGTTCGCTCGTGGTTAATGGTTTTTGGATGGAAATTTTAGCAAAGGGCATGTTTGATAAGTTTTTCAAAGTACAGGGGTATGTTTGATGTGAAAAATAGTAGAGGGACATGTTTGATAAAACGTCATAGTAGAGGGGCATATTATACCTATAACACTAAATTAATATGAAAAGTAGGAATCCGATATCATTGAAAAAACTGACGAATAATCCTCCATTAATATATGGTAGAGTTTTGTGTACTTTTCTCCATTACAAATTACCTGCAACGAGAGTGAAAGTAAGGTCATTTTTGTCTTTACACATTTATTATTTGTTTTATATAAAAATAGCAATATGAAGGTTTGAACCGGGTCTCTTCAAACAAAGATAACAATCACAACCAGTTACACTAAACAAATTTATTGCATTCTTTTTGATAAAAAAAAATAGACAAAGTTAATCTCTGAAAATCAGAGGACTTTTTATCATAATTAGCAAGCTCACTAAGTCTACCGTATTCATTTTTATCAAGCTTGATACTTCTATTTTCATAGTAGAGTTTCATGTAATTTTCTCAATTTTAAATTCTCGCTCTCTCCTTAATTTTTGCTAAAGGTAAATGGGTAATTGGCCAACATGGAAGAAACTAATTATGTAACTACTATTGTATCCTTGCATTTTTCAATTTAAATTTAAATTTTGTGTTTTTTTTATCTTTGTTCTTTTCTCTTTATAACTTCCTCCGAAATTTCATCCATCGTGCAATAGTTTGCGCCTTTCACTTCCTAGTACAAGACTGTCATTGAAAATCAATCTTCAGGTATCTCTTGGCACTACGGTTTTATTGTTGGGGATTTTAAGCTGGGCGAGTAGAAGATTTCAACTCCGATATCAATTCATGGCGAATAGAATGGAGTTCATCAATAACTGAAGTTGTAGAAGGAAGATTAGAAATTGAATTTTTGGTTGAATATATGCCTCTTGAGATAGAAATTTGGTTGTACAACGGAGAGTGGTGGCTATTGGATCTTTATGTTTATGGTTTTTGCAACTGTCATAACCTATTTCTATCTTAAAACGAGGAATCATTGATTGATTGTTTGAAATAGGTCGCTTCTTTATTCAACCTACTGGAACTAATAGATAAGGAGTGTCTAATTTTGCGCCTTATTACTTTGATCGAGTCTATTCGTATATTGGAGATAACCCTGATTTTTTCGTTTGCTCTCAAGTTGTGATGGTCCCCTCTTAGCTGAGTTTTTACTATATAGATGACTTGAATCAACAACTCTCCATTTCTTTTTGATTAGTGACATATTGTTTCTAAAAGGAGAGCATTGAACCCGTTATATAGGATTGTGAGGTTTATAATTTAGTTTCAAACTATCTATGGGTTGTGTGAGAATTTCAGTGAGCTTTTATACTCTATATTTCTTGACGGTAAAAGAAAACTAACCAATAGCATTTTAACAGGGACTTAATTAGCATTATGAAAATGGGGTCAATGATATTTTTATATTTTATATTCTTAAATGATTATGATATTTCTCCGAATCTTCGACCTATATATTATTTCTTTATGTATCATCTCGATCGAATGATTATCAATAAGATTAAACGGGTTAATAGACTTAAAAGTAACATAAAATACAAATAATCAAATATGAGCATTCCGGCCAAAGGACCGAGTTATAAGCTAGTAAAAGGAAAAGTATAAACCATTGACGCTCGCCGCCGATCGAGCGGGCACAAAACTAAACTAGTACTTGGATAAAGAAAATTGAAACGATGAAAAAAATATACGGACACGTGCATAGCGGTCAGGGGAATGAATGATTGAGAGGGGCGTCGAAATAAGTTCATAGATACCTCTCCTTGTCTTTTAATTCTTTCCAATTGCTGTAATGCTGAAAACCTCATTCTTAATTTCTCATGATGCTGTCTTTATCCTTTGGCTTATATATGTCATTAAGAATAGGTGTTTATCATATCATTCTCATCAGTCTAGCTGAAAGAGATATCCATTTAGTTAAACCTACGTATCAAAAACAGATCGACACTTCCGAACACTAAACACAAACCAGAGAAAACAAAATGAAATCGACACTAAACATGAGTTCGTTGTGCTCTTTTCCTAGCTTAATCTTTCAGGGGTGGTTTGGTCATTGGATTTGAAAATGAAGATTTAGATTTTTGAAATCTTTGAATCTACGATGGATTTTATGTATAATGAATTTGAAAAAGTATATTATTTTATTAATTTATACCTTTTTGCATCATGGGTCCCACAAACTTGCTTTTCATTAACCAAATTCTAAATGAATTTTGGGATTTGCAAATTTAATGGAATCCATGAATTTGGATCTAAAAAGAAGCCAAAATTGAGTAAGCTCCATGAATTTGTGTTACAATTTTTTCTACCCCAATAAACAATAAAGTTGTTCAAATCCATGATACTTAGTATTTTACTGCAAAATCTATCACTCAAATTTAACAATATAATCAAACGATTTATGCTCTTACATGATTCCCGTCATTGCCCTTATCGTGTGATCGAGAACCCCTTCAAAAGTACATAAATACACACCCCACTAAATCCATAATAAACTCACTTCATAATCCCTCTTTCAGTAACCAATCATGAAGATGAATCTCCTTGCCACATCTTTCTCCGCCGTCGTCCTTATTGCAGCGCTCACATTTAGCGACGACACTTTCATCCTCATCGTTAAAGGTTACAACGTAGACAAGATCGGCTCTGGCTGCGGGAGGAAGAGCGACGACTCCAACGAAATGAGAATGCAAGCACTCGGCTCCATAGACTCCGCGATCCGTTTCGTGGTCTCCGGGTCGCCGAATACATGCGCGCAGGCGGCGAAATCTACGGTCTTCGCCGCCGCGAATTGTGCCCGTGGACTCTCCGACCACGACTGCGAGCTCTGTCTCTATAACGCCCAGTGGCGAGTGGTCGACGTCGAGTGCAAGCATTTGTTCGGAGGATGGCTCGTGCTAAAAGATTGTTACGTGAGGTATGACACCAGTACTACATTTTGTCATCAGTGAGGGAATGGAATGGGGGTGATATTTGTATTTGGTCCTTCTTCTTCGATGGTCTCGGGTTGTTTGGATGAAATTGTTTTTGATGTGGTATTAAAGTTTTATTTATTTTATCGAAAAATCTTTTGCTCGAATTTTTATGACCAACTTATTGATTGATTTCGTGAATGTGGGAAATGATGGAGATACGTAAGTGAATTTTGCAATATTTGTATTTCGCCCTCTTCGATTATTTTGAGTTCCTCGAGTTCTTAGTATGAAATCGTTTTTCCATGCTCGATATGAAAACCTCCTATATGCATGTTAACCAAATTGCAGTAAATAAGCAGTTATGTACGTACTCAAAGTACGAAATTGTTCAATGGCGAGGTGAAATAAATCTACGTGCGATCATTACAAGTAGAGATCAAGACAATTCAAGTACCACATTAGATATACAAGGGACATTATATTTCTGTACAAGTGTCCACCAAATTTCACTAGTATGAGGCCGTTTAGGAAGGAATTCAATAGTAAATATGAGTGGTCGTGTCCCCCAAAGCAGACAATATATACTAATGGAGTATCAAGTTTCAACTAGTGATATCAGAGTTTGGTTTGAATGCAGTGGATCTAATGAAGATTTTCGTCCGCCTGGCTGATCAAAGAAGATCTGCCCATATGGTAACGATAGTTACGAGTTGGTATTAGTTTTTGTTAGGTGGCCAAGAAAATACAAGGAAAAGGAAGTCTAGCGAACAATAATAAAAAGAGTGAAAATTATAATTAATTTGAATTTTGAACTTCCAAAATGTAATTAAAATTATTAATTTTTATATGTCCTTTAGTTTTCAGTGACAACCAATTTGCACCATAACTTTCTCCCCTTATCCCGAGAAAAGCTACAATTTTATATAACACTGCCCTCATTGATCAATTGCTTCTCGTACACTTCCATGAATTCCTGTTCTTCCCTTTATTTTTAGTTCAGGATAAAGCATATTGCAGGATGCTTATGTTCAGAATTATAAGCATATAGCACAACTCTTTTTTAACTCAGTGGGCTTATTAAGAGATTGGGATGAATTACTTTTAGCAACTCTAAATTATTTCATCAAAATTGTTAAGACTGAGCCAAATAGGTTGGTCGGACCGAAAATCCGAAAACTGACCATGAAATTGGTTCGACTCTGTTAACTACTCCGACCGTACGAACTGGACCGCCGATTTTAAGTTTCCAACCACCTGTTTAGAAAATAATGAATGTTGGGATTCAAACCAGGTTCTTCTTCTAACAAGTAACAACACAAACACAAGTTGTTTTTACCACGAGGCCATCTTCATTTTGTGTCAATATGGAAACAAATTTTATTATTATTGAAACAATGATAATATCCTTAATTAAAAATGATTTCTATTTTAAAAAACAATCAAACATAATTAAACTTATTTTGTTTGGTAGGAATATATTAATAATTAAACCTTTATTTTTGTTGACGTTTGAACTTTAGAAAGTTATTACTCATCTTTTTTTTATGATTAATGTATTTTATTTTGGATTTATGGTCGTGGCTTTTTTTTTTCTCTTGTCCGGTTTCAACCAAATTATTCATCAGCGATTGAGATTAAATCATTTTAATTGCAAGTTATCGTGATTTGGAGTTTAACAAGTCACTGTAGCAACTCCAAACTTTGTTGTGTTGTGCTTTGTATCGGTTTAGTTGTCAACAGTATAATTTATAGCTGAAAAGTAAAACTGCACCCCCCATTCAAAATTTCCTGCCCATAGAGTGATTTTAAGAAGCTGATGTGGCAGAGTGTTAAGCGGGAAAAAAAAGGAGTCCCGCCTGATTTCAGAACCAAAAAACTCTCCACTACCCACTTTTTTCTCCTTCCAAGCCCACGTTCTCATTTAATTTGTATAAAAAACTCTTCACTACCCACTTTTTTCTCCTTCCAGGCCCACGTTCTCATTTAATTTGTATTTTTTATTTCCGATTTCCCTTCCTTCCACTTTTTCACCTCATTCGAATAAGTTTCTTGGCCTTCAGAAAACCAAACCTTGACTCAATCATCTGGTTCTTTTATGTGCTTGCATCTACCTGTGATTTCCGTTCTCTAAGCGTTAGATCGGTATTGGTTTTGCTGTAAGTTATTCCTCCTCTTTCAGATTTCTGTTTGTTGTTGTCGCTGTTTTTAAGTTTTAGGGATTCGGGTTCTGGGTTTTTTTCCCCAGAGATTCGGTTGCAAAGATTCATCTCCCTTACCTTTGGTTCATTCCGTTTTCTTTATTCTCTCTTACCTTCCTCGCTTCATTCTGTTGATTGGATTCTCTAGAGATCAAAAGGGGATTTTTGATTTTTCCCTTTCTCTTGAAAGTAACAAAGCTGCTTACTTTAAATTCCACTTCGCTTAGACTGTCTTCCAGAGAGCAGCCGACTGCCGATTTTGAGCTGAGTTTTTCCGGGCCGCAGAGAAAGAAGAGGAAAGAAAGAGACGTTCGGCGGCGGCAGCCAGGTACTTCGTCCGGGTCGTTTTTCCCGCTTAACACTCTGCCACATCAATTTAAATTATGGTTTACATTGTTGTCCTTCTCGCTCTTCCTTTGCATCCCCAAGCTTGGAAGCCATTCTGTTATATGTGTTTTGTTCATCAATTTAAATTATGCCTTATATAGTTATATTTTTCTTCGACTGTGATGTTTGTGTGATGTGTTGTATGTGTCATTAACTCGCACAAACTTATAATTGGTGAGAAGTTCAACTTCTGTTGTAACAATTAATTAATTTATATGAATGGCAGCTGCAAAATTTACTGGAACGGGTGCATCATTTACCACGACCTCTATTTCAGATTGCATCAGGTTATTGGAGAATTTAATATGGATAGTGCAAAATGTCATCCCATCTGCCCAACCACAGATTTATCGATCGTCTGTACCATGTGAGTGTCATGGTTTAGCACGCAACTGCTTCAATGCAAACTGACATTAATATTTTCCCTTGAATCTCATTTGTTTAGGGAAACGTCGAGCAGTGTTTATTCATCCTGAAGATCAGTACCAACGCTGTGTTTTATCTGCTGAAGAGGAAGAAGCATTTGAGAGAGGTGTGTTATCTGTGTTTTAATTTTTCTAATTAGTTCATCTATTCAATGAGTAATACATGGTTTTATATTTAAATTCTGCAGAAGAAGCTGCCTTACAATTCCAACTCTCTCAACTTCGGTGAATACTATCCCAAGTCGCCCGTAAGAGAAGACATCATATTTTGAAACAGAAGGTTCATAGGAGGGGCTTGCCTTTTGAACACCAAGGTTGTTGTTTGCTAAATTTTGTAGCAAGTCTTACAAATTAGGCTATTCTAGATTGTTGAATCTTTATTTATTTCTTTAATATCGTATGTGTTTTGGTGTTGTTCATAGTTTTGGAGCCGGAGTTTAGATTTCTATTACAAAAGCAAAGTCGATTGAGTAGCTAATTCGTATGCATTTGGTTATCATGTCCTTGAGAATGGTAACATTTTTCGTGATGGAGTAGATGCTGCCCTTTGTTTCTTTTCACAATGACTAGGTTCAGAATACGGAGTCTTTCACAAAACATAATTTTATTATCCAATTAGCATAATTAATTACATTTTTGTTTACTCATTTGGAACAGTAAAACGTTGTTTGAAGATACATGTTAATAAGATAAGCTGTATCACTTCAATTCTGGTCATCATGTTTTGTAAATTAATAACAGTTCTTATCACTGTAATTTTATTTACTCATGTGTTTGTGGTTTTATTGTTAAATGGATGTTAGGAGGTTATTCGTTTTCTTCCTCACGAGCAACTAAAATGTATCTCAACATCCATTGCCCTCACTTGCATCCTTTGTTAAACCAGTAAGCTTCATAAACCTCTATTTTTGAAACTTTAAATTCTAATGTGTGTGGTATCTGTTGATAGTGGTAATTCTGGTTAATTTATTATCAGGGAAGATGGACCCCAATTTGGATCTAACTATATTGTTGGACCATTGCTATACGAGGAAGCTCTCGACATATCTGAGCACACCACGGTTCCACAGCTTAATATGATAAAGTTAAGTCTGTATAGTACGGTAAGTCACTCAAACTCAACTAAACACCTATTTTTTTAAAACACAGTCATTACCCAATTCAACATTTGCTTCATTTTCGTCATCAATAACCCACGTGTCTGTTTTAGGGGACGGTATACATCTTGATGGGAAAACTAAAAGCCATTGGAATTTCAACTTTGGCGCACTCTATGGTCAGTGTTGTGCATTTCACCATCAATGATGTAACTAAGGAGCTGGAAGTTGTGTTTCCCTCTGTCAACCTTAGACGCATTGTTGGTGATGTGGTTGTGGAGACAAATATCGATTGGGACACTAACATCATCGCCATTCTCAACTGCATTGATTTGAAGTATTACCAGTTTGTCATTGAAGTTGGCGCGTGGAACCGCATGGTCCGTCACTGTGATTTGGTTTTGCTGAAGATGTTCTCTGCTGCCTTTTAAGGATGGAGTGCTTTTAATGAATTCCTGGTCTGTGTTCCTAAATATCAACTACACTCAAACATATAATAGGAAGTGGTTGGCTAGGAATTTCTCATCATTCGGCTCTATTTACTACCTCCACCGTACTTTTTTACTGTTATTTGTGATGATAAGATTGTTGGAGCTTAGCCTTTTAGTTTCATGGTTTTGTTTTAAAGCACCCAGTGTGCAAGAGATTAGCTGTAATTGATTTCCTCAACTTTGTTTATGATGGAGAATCACTTATGTATTTGGATTGGTTTGCTGCTGTTTTACAAGATGGTAGTTAAGCAGATAGGGTGTCAGAACTTATGCGCATATGAACCAGGAAATATTGTCCGGTTTGTGTTATGCACTTGATTATTTTTTTAGTCCTGGTTATGATCCAATGTGAATTATTTGTATAAGAAACATATTTTTCCAGAATTTAGTTACAATCTAACAAATATCATCAACTTTTAACTATTACATTCACAAAAT